AGGATGTTGAAAAACTGTAGAGACTCCAGTGATGGGCTAAGGTGTCCACGGAGCTCAGGGCCTGCCCTCTGCAAAGACAGTGGAAGGAGTTGGATTTAGTCTGTGGGGTGAACTAATAAGAGCCTAATATTATCTGCAGGACAGTTACAAAGATGGAGCCAAGCATCTCGTGATAGCTGCAGGAGATGTGGCAGAGGCAATGGCCACAAACTCCAGCTTGGGGGCTCCAGGCCAGGCAGGAGGACAGGTCTGGTTTACTCTGAGGGCAGTGCACTGGGCAGCCCAGAGAGGCCATGTAATTTCCACCCTTTGCAGGTTTTCAAGCGTCATCTAGACAAAGCCCTAGCTGACATGAGCACAGGTACCAGTCCCACCCCAAGTGGGAGGATGGACTCCATGTCCAGAAGAAAATCTCTGTGATTCTGCAGCCTATAGAGAGACAGAGCATCTGCAAAACCCAAGGCAGGAAAAGCCCAGTGCTATGCAGAGGAGAACCTGACTCACACAAGAGCATCCCTTTTTGTCTTCAGGAATTGTTCTTCCCAATGCAGTGCTCTCAGGCTGGGTGGGAGGCCCCACAGCATCACAGGTACTCTAGCAGCAGCAGGGAGCACAGAGCAGAGAAGACAAAGTGCAGCCTTTGGAAGTGTCAGGCTTTGGGTACACAGCTCTGCTGCTCACAACCTGCACATAATGCTGCATGTGGACTTGCCTCTGGTAGCTCAGCTTTTTTGAGTCTTGTTTCTCAGCATGATGTGAGCAAACCTCAATGTCACTTCTTTCAGAAAAAGATACTACAAGTAAATATGTCCTTTGAGACTTACTCATTTCTTTCCCCCATCTCTCACTACTTTCTTACTGCAAAGACAAAAGTGCTTTTATAATACAAAGCATATCTTACCTGCTTGCTCAAGAGCCCCACTAAGCTGAAAGTTCAGCAGAGCCCAAATATAGCTCTAGCTTGCATATGAGTAGGTTACATGGAAACTGGAAAGAGAGAATCAGACCTTTCCTGCATCTCCCACCTTGTAAACAATCACTGGTATTTTAAGTATGTGTTTATGTCCAGGCAGATCTTCAATACCATTCTGGGCCTTTTAATTTTGCAGCTGTCTTGGGCATCAGCACCCTTTCAGAACTCCGCATGTCTAAGGCAAACAAATCTTCATTCATACCTGGAGGAAAACCTCCAGAGCACAGAGTGCCAGAAGACTTGTTGCAGGCTAATGTGGCACAAGCGAAGGCCACATCAGACTAGAGGACACATACTTGTATTTATATGCCATAGGAGTTACCAGAGGTGTCCTAGTAAGCAGCCATCTGATGCTAGCTAAGGGAGAGTTAACACTGGGAGAAAATAATTTCAATCCTTTTTTGCTAACTAGGCAGCAGATCCCCCCATCATTAGTGGAAATTGAATCTGCTCTGGGCTACCAAGTTGTAAAAAATTTTTGAGCATTAAAAAGTTTGAGGGAAAAACTGAGTTGTCTTACCCATAGTTTTGATTTTATTAACTTCTAGGACCAAAAGTACTCTGCAGATCAAAGATTGTCTACTAAAGCAGAAGAGGTAACAAAAACTTGCTCTAAAGTAACACTTGCATATCAAGTCACCCATGAGTAATTGTATTTCTAGGTTTTTTACACTTACCTTTGTTTTTGCTATTGATGTTGACCACATGTTAATCATTGAGCATCTTTGTTAAGCTACAGCTGAGTTTACATAGCAATCAATTCATTGCTGAATCCTCCTGCCACTCCCAGTACTGGCAGAAAGACAAACTAAGGCAAGAGTCACATCCAGAGTAATTGCAGGCCAAGTCATGATTTCAGCTAGTTCCCTGTAAGGACTGGCTCTGGAGAGGCCTTCTGTGCTGGAGGAGATGGCTGGTGCCTAGCAAAGCAGAGAAGCTGCACAAAACTAACCACTAATCTGCCACTGTTTAAAGAGAAGGCCTCCCTCCCCTGAATGTCCTGCATGGGGCTTTGCCTGGGATGAGGATGTGTGTGAGAGAGGCACTGCTCTAACTTCACCACAACCAGTCTGTTACACACCCGAGTTACAGAGCTGCTCTTGAGTTTCTGCTTTCCCCTCAGCAGCTTTTCCTGACACCCTGGAATCTTCCCATCCTCCACAGTGATTTGGGCCAAGTTGTCTCCAGCTGTGCTTACTCCTCCCTTGCTAGTTCACAAATACAGCATGTGCACGCTTCTTTGCTTGGGAGATCCCAGCCCCTGGCAGTTAACAACTGCAGAAGTGTCAAAGTATTTCACGTCTCTGCAACTCAGTTTGATTTCTTCTGGCTTAGTTTGAGGTTGCCCTGTTAGAAAGCACTGGCCTAGTTTTTCAAAAGGTCATGGACAAGGAAACTTCCTAATCTTAAAAGATGACTTCATCACCTATTTCTATTAAAAGCATTGCTTGGACTGTTGCAAGAAGAAAAAGAAAATGAGTGGCTTACACCATGAGTAAGAATTTTTCTTTTAATGCAAGTGGCTTGGACTGGGCAGGGCGTTGCCAGAACACTGATTCATTCCACTATCAGAAAAAGTGGGCACAGCATTTTAAAACGTCTTCGCTGCTGAATTGTCCTGCAGTAGGCACTGAAAGGAGCTGTGTACAGGTGCCACTTATACTGAACTCCTACACACAGGTGGCAGCATTGCTGAGTACTCTCGGTGCAGCAGAGGAAGCAGCCCAGCAGGCTGGAAAGGCCAGCTCCTGACAGCAGAGCCGGGTTTGAGGACAGGGATCTCATAAGCCACCCCAGAACCAAAGCCTGCCCCTGATGTCCCACAGCTGTTTACAAAGTCCTTTCACGCAGGACACCACCCCTCGCCAAGACCGTGGCGTGTCGGGGAAGCACCTCCATGTACACAGCGTGTATCCTAGCGACTGTTACTAGCGAAGGCAGAAATACAACTGAAGCTTGTTTGGTTGTTAGCCGGGCGCTTTTCCCTCGGGACACGCAGCATAGCCCTGCCTTGAGCCTAAGCAGCTAAGCGTGCACGGCCCCCTCGGCAAGGCGGGGCGGCCACAGCCTGCTGCAGGATGAGAGGGCAGCAGCTTCACCGACAGGGCTGCAAGGACAGTACCACCAGCAGTGCTGGCACTGCTGCCAACAGCGGCACAGGCACCATGTGCCATGGTCCTCTTGCCACAGAGCCAAGCCCGAGGCTATCCAGGTTCGTACTCTGTTAGGAAAAAACCCCATCTCGGTAACAAAAAGCCAAACCCAGTTTGCACTCCAAAAGGAAAAACACCCCAAAACCTGAAGTCAAACCCCAGCGTTGTATGCTATCTGTGCCACTGCCACCAGCAGTATGGCTGCTCTAATCCAGGTACTTTCCTGCATGTAAACAAGCCCTTGTAAGCTCCAAGAAATCACTGGACGTGACAGATGGCTCAGCCCTCTCGTTTTGGTGATGTATAGCTTTGCCCTCCTCACCTTCCTACAGCTATCAGCTAAGTTTCATATTGTCCTTTTTAAATGCAAACTGTGGGGCTTTTTTAGCATTAGTGACTCGTTAGGTAACTGCTTCTCTATAGAAGCCATTGTCACACGGCAAAATAAATCCCTTCTCTAGGAATATTCAGAGCTACGTTGAGAGCGAGTCGATGTGGGCGGACCCAGGCTGACTACACGGCTCCATGCAAGCGCTGCTCTCCACTCAGCTGTGTTAAGTCACGAGCAGGATTTACGTGGACTTTTCTACCCCTCCCTGAGCTACACGTGTCCCAGGTAGGGCATGTGCTGAAGAAGCTTTTTTGAATTCTGCTCCTCAGATAGCACTGAACTTACCTAAACAGCTTTTGTTGGAGAGGAGTATTTTTAATAGAAACAGGATACTCCTTTCTGAGTGTGAGAGTTGAAGCACTTCACGTGTGGCTGTTTTGTTGGGGTTTTTTTTTAAACACCATGCAGCAAAGAAACTGAAAACAAAACACCCCAGACTTTTGAATTGAAATACAGGCTTTACAACCATAGTAAGTGTAGGCTCTTATATTTTAGTTTAAGACTATATCATTTTATAGAGTACCAAAATAAGCAAAGGATCAGCACTCCATACAAAGTGTTAGTTCTTGTGAGGAGGGTAGAAGGGAAATGGACTTTAATTACACTAAACTTTTTTTTTTTGCAAGTCTAAAGAAAACTCCATTTCAGCAAAACATCTTTGGGTTTCAATTCCCCAAATTTCATTAAATAGTGTTTCTTTTAAGACAATTTGCATTTTTCTCATTCAAAGTAAAGGGATGATTTAAAGCACTATTAACAAGGAGGTGGTGCTGTTAATGTTTAATGTCAATATGCAATGGCATCTGCTATAAAGGCTAGAAGAGCAACACAAGTTTATCTTTACTTCTGAAGACTACTAGAAATTGACTAACACTGGAGAAGTTTCAAGCACAGCACAGGACTCTAGCTCTAGGCTGCTGCCAGGAAGCCTCTGCTAGTCCCGACACTGCCACGGGGACTGCCAGCACACGCCAGGGCCTGTCGGCGGCAGTGCCGCGTGTTCCCACACGTGTACCCCGTGTCCCTCTTACAATGGGTACATCTCTTCCCTGTCTTATGGCATTAAAACGCAAGTCAGCAGCTAACATTGCCACTACAGTTTTACAGAAGCATAAAGCTGAACAGAATAGCATTTAAAACAAATTGAAGCTGTTAAACTCCATGACAATCCTTCCTCCTGTCCTACTCCCTGTCCAAGCTCTTCTCCTGCTCCTTCCCTAATGTCTATTTTACAATAAAAAAGTGGATTTACATGATGCAAGCGCAACTTAAAGGCTTTTGCCCTATACATATAACCATGTTAAACTGTGAATTATACAAGTGATAGATCTCTAACAGAGCAACCACTAGTTTTTTTAAAGAAACACAAGTATTTCAGCATGTACAGTAATGAGTTTTAAACTGTCCAACATCGTCGCTTTCATACATTCTCTTCCTCTTTATAGCATTAACGGGATTTTAGACCTTGATGGCGACAATCCCAAACAAGAGTAAAATGAATTTATTTTATTGCAAACAAACGTCTAGAGTTAAACTTCTCCACCCACTTTCTTTAAAGAGAAAAGGAATCAGCAGGCTAAGGAGATACACCCATTTGAGAATTGACATGATTAAAAATTAAGATATAAAATGGGTGACTCACAGTTTCATTAGCTTACAAAATGGTGGAGTAACTACTACAAGCACACTAGGTATACAGTATTTTGTGAGGAGAGTTATACAGACACACAGCTAACTTCATATAGATCCCATTAGACAACTGGATTTACAACAAGTTTTGTTTAATAAGAAATGGGCAAAGCCAGCTTCTTTTCAGAATCAAAATGCAGAACAAATGGAAAAAAAAATTATGGTTTGTACCTTCACAAGTTTGAGCCTCCACAAATAAAGCAACCGAGTTTTACAACTTTAAGAGCTTCTACATACACTCCACCATCACTATTTAGCCCCAGGTTTCCTCTTTGCCCCCAGCATCTTAAGAGTTCCAAATGTTACAAAAAAGTCCTAGTTATTGCCAGAAACTTTTGCCTCCCCCTCCTCCCCTCCCCACCCAAGAGCTTCATAGAGAGGATGGAGTGTAATAGGGAGCTTTACATAATCTCATGGTATTTGAGGGCTACTAAGATGCCTCCATATGAATCTGGTTGCTAACATTTCTATAGTATTGTGACATGACTCACGACTGTTTCTTAGAAATTGGGGAATGGGGAAAAAGGAGAAAATTCTTTAATAAAAAGACACCAGGTACAAAGCAACGTTTTACTTTTGTTGTGGTAAAAAAAAAGTCACATTTTACAGATAAAATGTAGAACCCTGAAATACTGACACATTCTCTTTTCGTGCACAATGCTGAGGTTCTCTTACGAATCACTTTAAAACTGCAATTAAAAATGTACAAAAAAAGAAAAGAAAAAATCAACCCACAAAGCTTCTAAAAAAGGAACCCGCAGGCACTTCCTCTTGTGGAATGTTTAAAAAGTTAGCCTACTAAAGAAAACAGTCGACTTCTTGTGAAGGTTTTGGAGAAATATGTATCAGTTCATTTATTTGGGTATTCAATAATATCCTTGGTGATAATGCTGACTCCATGGCTTCTGACCCCAGAATTGCTGCAACAGATTAATAAATAGTTAGTTTTAACCTGCAATCACATAATGGTTAAGTTTCTTACTTGGGAGAAAAGAAACAACATTTAACAAACATCTAGTTCCCCTGGAACTTCAGAAGATTAAAGTCCTCTCCAATAGCAGCAAGTTCCTGAACAACTGAAGGCAGTTAAGAGTTCACTTCACAGCAGTAATGTGAAGCCAAGTACCACATACCATTAAGAGCATTAAGCCACAGCTGGTATTTGATATATCAAGACCATCAAGGCAGATTAAGTTTTGCATAGGAAGCTATTTATAGGGATATTACCTAGCATTAGAAGATTTTGCTTTCTACTTTTGATTATGCATCTATTTATTTTAGTCAGCATTTTCCAACATTCAAGTTACCAATCAGCAAAAAGGTAAAGCTGGGACTACTTACACCCTGCTGCCACTGGTTGTAGCCCTGAGATTGGTTTTTGTAGCCACGATTATTTCCCCTTCCTCTGAAGTTCTGCAAGAAGACAACAGTTTTTAACTACTTCGTCTATATGCATTTTTCAGAAGTGTCCTAATACCAATCTTTATTACCACCAAAACATCACACACCATATAGAAGTATCAGCCCCAGGTTAATAGAAAAGCACCACCAAAAAAACCCTCCCTGAAAAGAACTAGAATACCAAAAGCCTCCTTCCTTCCCTCCAAGCAACTGCTTTTTAACCGTGGGGCAAGAATCTTAGAATTAATAAACCAGCTCAAACTGTTGTTGCCTGGTGTGGAAAGCTGGCTAATCCAGTTTTGACTCACCCTATTTCCAGCTGCTAAATGCACCAGGACAACTAAAAATACAAGAGCTTGTCTATTTTTAGTCAGGCAAGGCTGTAGTTGCTACAAGGATATGTTATCTGATCAGACAAAAGGATATGGGTCACACAACTGAAAATAGAAGAGCTAGCCGACAAAACCTCCAACAGAAGTTACGGTACAACAAAGGGACATGGATATAAGTAGATAAAATTTTGCTTTTCCCCCTGTTTGTCAGTATTAGGCAAACCTGAGCCATGTTTACTGGCTTGGGCTCCATCTGCTGGCTCTTCTGTAATCCAAATGTTGTTTTCCAATACTTGCACCGATATTCCAAGATCTAGGCTAGTGTGTCTTTACTAGTTGCGTTTGATACCAGACACCAAAACAAAGACTCTGTGCACAGCTATTTTCAGAAACTTCCCTACATGTTCGTTAAAGATACACTTTGACCCTCAGCCCAAACAACAGTTATTATGGGGAAGAAACACACAAAAAACCAAAGACAAACCTTCACACACAGTCACTAAAAATCTTAATTTTTAGCAGGACAGCCCTAACATGAACTGACCCCCATCAGTTGTGACACAACTTTCAGAGCACTGGACACGTGCACTGAACTAGAAAGGCCTTGCAGCATGGCATCAGTGTAGCACCACAACCAAGTCTGAGACTCCTCACAGGCACCAAGGTTGTCAAACAACATCCAAGTACCATAGTTCAGTCCCCCCTCAAAGCATCACCTGGTTGTAGTTTCCCCTGTTGGGCATTCCACCTCTGTTATAGTTTCCTCTGTTTGAGTAGCCACCTCTGCTTGGAAAGACAGGGCCACGAGGATACGGGTAGCCAATCGCTCCGCTGCTGCCACCGCCACCACCGCCACCTCCACCACCTCTCTGGGGCATGTTGCCTCCCCTCCTGTTGTATCCACCACGATTGCCAGGGACTGCAGGGAGAGAGTTACTCTAATCAAGTAATTGTTAGGTATTACTTATTTCCTACACAAAGATAAACAGTGCAACCCAAGGTCTGACAAGCCTCTCACTTGAGCTTGACAATTAACTATGCACTAAAACGTTAAACTTACTGAAATTGAGATCAAGGTTCCCGCTACATAGTAATTGCAGTGCAAGTACTAGAACCTTTTTCCCCAGCAGCAGCAACCTCCAGAAGTCACAGATTTATTTCTAGGCTCACCTCCTCCTCTGAAGTTGCCCCGCATGTTGAATCCTCCACGTCCTCTCTGACCCCTATTAAATTGATTTTTATTGCTCTTCTTGTTCTTCTTTGAGCCAGTGTTCTGTTTCTTTTCTGGCGGAAGAGCTTTCTTACTTTCTTCTTTATACTGTTCCAAAAGCTTCTGAGCTTCTTCTTTTTGCAACTCTACATAGATTATTTCATCAAAACATTCTGCTACCTCTGGCAGTGTGAAGTTCCCTATAATTGCAAAAACACTGAGTATTCAGCATCTACATTCAGCTACAATCAAAGCCGCAATTTAACCACCTTTCCCCCATTCTTCCTCCCACCCTCTCCATCCCCTCAGCATAGGGACAAAATTACATAATCTGAGCATTTAGAAAATATAACAGTGACAAAGGAAATAAACAGGTCTTCATGGAGTTGCCAGTACTGTTCCAAACCTTGAAAACATTCTGCCTATCTTTTTTTTTTCTTTTATAAGCCTCCACTCAGAACACCAGTTTCTGCCAAATATGTCACGTATATAGGGCACTTTATGCCAAGACAGCTTTGTGCATCTGCATGAAGCATATCACCATAACTGAGTAGTGTTAAGGACTGCAGCAGAGGGAACACAATATAGTGTTATCCTACCAAGTTACAATAGTCTTCCAGTTTTGTATAAGTACAACTCTTTAAGATAAAGTGATTTTTTAGACTTCACGTTTACTTAATCCTTTAAACAGATACTCAGCATCCTAAAACACAGTATAGGATTATGTTCCATGCCTTTCATTTTGAGAACTGCATGCTCTGGAAGATCTTTTCCCTCCACCTCTGCCTTCTTTTGTGTTCTTTGCTTGTAGTCTTCATCTTTTGGGCAAACAACAACTGCTTTGCGCTGGAAGCCTGCAAACAGGCACATTTTTCTCCTCTGCGCAGCTGCAGACACATTTGTCTGAAAAAAATGCAGTAACTTACTACACGTAGCTGTCATTGTAAGAGTTAAGGAAGTCAACTTATGGTGTATAGACTTCACCTCTACAAGAGCTTGCAATGAAGTTTACAAATAACTGGACATAAAGATGCTGCATAACGCAAAGTTACGAGCTCGTATCAACGTGTTAAACACTATTCCTCCCACATCCCATAAATCTAGAGAAGTTCAGACAAGCATTCGTAGTAATATCTCAACTTTGTGTCCCCTGAATGAGTAGTAACTGAAACAACTATTATATTATAATTTTAATCCCAATTAATTACTACAATACAGCCTATAACAAATTTCCTTAACCGTTTTTCACTGAAGCTTCTACCTGATCCAAAATGAAATTCCGCTTCTTACGAGCTGCAATCTCAATGAACTTTCCAAGACACTGTGGAGCTCTCTGCAACAGTGTGTTAAGTTTTCCAGTGTCTGCCATCTGACGCTTAAAACCTGCAACCTATGGAGAGATTTCCCAGAGTTAGTCAGTGTAGTCCTGATACATGTGACTAACATTTTTCTTTGCTATTTTCCACCACATCTCAAGGGTTATTCAATTCAAGGCCACAGCTGCTGCAAACCTGTAATTCTAATTCTCAACCCTCCATAGAACATAAGAGCTTTATAAACAAAGACTCCACAAGAATTGGCACCATTGAGTTCAAGGTATACTCATCACAATACTAATTCTAGCTAAATGTTCTATTCTGAGAACAGTGATGTATAGAGAAGTAGAAATACATTCAATAGTCAGCAACAGCAGACTATTTCTTACATATTACCACAAAAAGCTTCAGAATCCTGCCATGTGTGAATTACCAGCTCAGCGAGGTATTAAAATCTTTACATAAAATCATTAGGTTGGAAAAGACCTTTGAGATCACTGAGTCCAACCTATGACCTAACACCACTTTGTCAACCAGACCACAGCACTAAGTGCCACAGCCAGTCATTTCTTCAAGAATGGTCACTAGCTAACAAGGAGCCAGTTTCTTTGATACAAAAGAACCCCATGGCAGCCAAATACCATGGATCTATACAGCAAGTTTTGAACATACCAAGAAATAAAATGTCTTATCACTTACCATCATTTTGTCCATAATAGTATTTGTCCCAAGAATGTTGTATTTCCCAGGATTTGCTGCTGCATGTTTGGTAACCCATGTAGTCTTGCCAGCTCCAGGCAAGCCAATCATCATCACCACCTGTGACAAAAAGTTCTGTATTTGAGATACTACTTCAAAGATTTTCTTTAATACACAACTTAGCCCAGCAAGCCTAATGGATACTGAGGGGGCATGTGGGAGTGGGGAAGGTAGTGGTAGTGAACAGGAAGTATTAAAGCTCCCAAACAAAAATGTCAGGAGTGAGGTGGAATAGTCTCCTTAACTCTACCATTTCCATCCATCTGCTTTAACAACTTTTGAGATGATCAGAAGAAACTTACTTCACAATCTTTCTTTTGCTCAGGTCCCTTTGGTCCTCGGACCCTATCCTCCAGGGGGACCTTCTGGATGAAGGTATACTCTTCAGGTACAGGGAAGTAAGGTTCCTCCTTCTGACCAAAGTTAAACTCAACCGCACAGTTATGGCAGAGAACATGTGGAAAGAGTGGTCGCCCATCAAGAACTTCCTTGCTTATTTTGAATGCAACACCAAGCTCTTGTCCATTCTTGGAATATGAGAGCTCCACTTCATCACCATCAAAATTCTGTTTTTCAGACAAAGCATTATTTTGGATAAAATTAGCTCACTTTATACACTTAATTAGTCATTTCATTCTACTGCCTATGTTCACTCCTGTAGCACTGTTATTTCATAAAGGAACTAAAGCTAATTTTCTAATGAGTCACTGTCAATGATCATCTTGTTCAAGACCTGATTTTTTGTTAAAAGGCTTTAAAGACATTTGTCCATGAATATGAAATCATGTTGCCAGCAGTCACTGTTAGTAATAGCTGCTACTTCTATTGCCTGCCTATGTTAAACAACTTGTCTTGCTCATATGATTTTATGTATTTGCTTTACTACTTCTAACATCAAAGTAGTCTAAAAATTCAAGGATGTTTTCCCTCAAAAGAAAATATAAGTGAAAACTTACAGCAAAACATCCAATCACATCATTTTCATCAAACTTCTCACCAAAGTCTTCAGTCTCACAATTGCATGTCTTTATTCCTTTTAGAGAATACCCATAAGAAAATTCTTCTTCACCTGAAGGAACAATTTAAACTAATTACAAATAGGCTTTCCCGTCTAGCCTTTTACACATAAATCATCTTACAGATACTTAAGTAAGCTGCTGTTCACAATATTTTTAGTAATGCCAAAACAAGCTATACAAACAACCCCCCAACAGCTATACAAGCGCATTCTTCTATTCAGTACTTTCACTTGAGATAGAACAGCAGTGTTTCCTCATCCCCATTTAAGAGCCTTATGCTGCTCTTTCCAGATTCATGCTGACAATAAAAGCTGAACTGTCAGATAAAGACATGAACAAGTATTTTTAAACTGTGAAGACCTGGTTATGCAGTGGTATACCTGCTGTAACGTAGTCAAAAAGGCTTTCTGAAGTTAAGTCTCCAGGAGCACTTACCCCTCCCATTTTAAAGGGAGTTTAGCAGACAGTCAGCCTATGCAATAGCTGAGGATGAAGCTGCAAGGAACAAGCTAACAGGAAGTGTCAAACACAAGGACTCAGGTGTAACTTAAGTAGAAAGCTGTTGCTGGTGTCAGAACATACCAACTCACCAGTATTTCCCCCAAAGGTGCGTTTCAGCAACAAGTTATAGATATTATTATAATTTGTCATAGATATATAATGAAGTTGTATTTCTGTCTTTCCAGAAATTAGGATTTTTCCCACCAAGCAAAACAAAAGATAACGTAGTTACTACGGGTTAAATTTTATATTATGCCCCACCCTTTAAAAGTGGAGGGAAGGGCAACTCTCCTTTTTCTGCTTATGACATTAAATGAAAAAGACAAATCCTTTATCTTGTCAGGTATTCAACACTGTTTTCCACAACCCATATATGATCACTGTAAGAATAAATTCTTAAATTATGGCCCTAATCCTTACAGGTTTGAATACTTAATTACTTTATTTGATCCTCGTAATGAACTTCTTCACACCATGCCCGATGAATGACTCAAATTAAGACCACTTTTCACAACACACACACTACAATTACTAAGCTCATCCCCCCTTCTTCAGAAAATAATTATTTTCAAACTTCAGCCACATCAACACAAAAGCAATCAAACATTTTAAAAGCTTACCAAGCAACATTCCACTTGTGTTCAGTGACCAGCCAACTCGCACTTCATGTATATCAATGTCTTTTGTATACAGGTGTTTAACAGGAATCTTTTCTGTAACCTATTTTTAAATTATTCAGTAAAAGGTAAGCAATATTCATTATACACTAACAAGATGGAAGAACAAAAAGTAACATTTGGATCCTTTATACTTTCGTAAAATCTTTGCTAAGTCTAATTGATCACCTTCTGCAAAAACAAAACATATTCAAGAATATAAAACCACCAAGTGACTAAACAGTTCCATTTTCTGACTTAGGGATGAAGATTGGAGAAGATGATGAAGACTGTAAATTTTCCATCACTTTGTCACAAGCAGTCCCTGTCAGTGGTCAAAAGCCTTAAGTCCTTTTGACACTGTATTAAGATCACAAACAATACGTATATTTATTAAAAAATCCCCAGCTGACACGAAGTTGGGTTTCACAGTAAATTACTTAGCTAAGAAAATGGGCGATGTATTAAAAAACCCGCTTCTTAGAGATTAGGGAAAGTATTACACTAACCCTTTTCACTGTAAGCAGACTTCCTGGGCAAGCTGCCAGCTTCCAAACAACACAATCAGTTAAAAAACAACAAAAACCACCTAAACGCACTGGAACCTACATGCAAACAGCTGGTTTTTAACTGTCTTTAGAAACTTTACAAAAATGAAGTGAACAACCCATAATTATCCTATCAACCTCTGCAACTATTCCAGTCAGGTGACTGAGCTGAAACTCATTTGAAAATGAACAGGACAATAAATAGTGACATGAATTTCACTTCACTGGCCTTCCAAAGTTATAGATATCAACGGACACAAAAATCACTCCATGCAAAAGCTTGGATAATGGGATCACTACCCAATTCCCATGATAACAGCTACCTTTGAAAGCACTAGAGGAAGAAAACAGATAAATATACACAGGCCCATCATATGCAAAGAAGCCTTTAAGCAAAAAAGACTAAGAAAAAGAAATTCAAGCTTTATGATCTTCTTCCTCTTCCACCAACAAGCTGGAAAAATCAGTTTATTAGAAGGCTAACTGCTCTTTGCCATTCTTACCCTTCAGGAGAACTCCTGTCCTCAAAATTCAACTACCTGCTAAATACTCATATTCAATGCATCATGTCAAAGTTAACGATGTTGAAAGGGACCTCTAGAGGTCATCCAGCCAAAATCCCTGCCTAGAGCAGATCAAACTCAAAGACTAAGTAGAACCAGAAAGGACTGTAGAATTAATTTATATCCCTTAAAAAAAAAGTCAAGCTTTCTGTCATCTTCAGAAAGTACATGCAAACTTCTGACTAGAGAGTATAAAAATATTTTCAGTGTTGATGCATGAGATGCCAAATTGAATTTGTGGTTTAAAAATGAAACCAGAAGTCTCACATTCAGAACAAATACAGTGTGTTGTGGGTTTTTTGGTTTGTTTTTTTTTTTAATTTCTGGTTTATTGTTTGTTCGTTATATGGAAGATCTTATAAGAGAGGAAACAGTTTTGCAAACTGAGTCATTTTCTTGGTAAGAGAAAGCCGTTTAAGAGTCCTGTTCACATCAATTAGTTTCAACCGAGTCCAAAAAAAAAGCGACAAGTACAAGTCTCACATTTAAGCATGCAAAAGTCTCCCATAAACATTAACTCACCTTCATCTCAAAGCAGACTTTGCCTTTAGAAACTCCATAGGAGGCTCTCCCTCCAGCCCAGAGGAAAGCAAAGCTTTCCATGGTCAGAGAGGAAGCACTAAACCGGTCTCTTGAAATTTTAAAATGCAGGTCACAGTTATCTGTTAACATAAAAATCATTCTGTTTACTCTGATCACAAAATAAAGTACAGGTATCCAATTTTATGCATTAAAGATGCTGCCAGCTTTCAAAGGTGATTTTAAAGACAAACTGCCAGCAAGTACCCAGGACCTTTCAAAGAAGCAACATGTCTCAATGGAACTGCAGACTGAAGCTCAGCCAAAAATCTTAGGAAAAGCTAACTAACAAATAATTTTCAAGGTGCCATCTTCACTTCTGTCACCCAATTTCCCTCTATTTTTTCCATCTGCTTACAAACTCCTGACTTTCCCCTTATCTTTTAGAACTCTCTTTTGTCAGTTACCTCTTTCCATCAATACAGAGCCATCTGCATTGTGCTCTCCACAGTACCCTCTAGAGACCTGATTCTGAAGCAGTCTCACTGCTCAACCCCAAACCTAAGCACTGCTAAGAAGTAAATGTGGACACAAATGGTTTTGTTTAAGTACTGAACATAGTTAACATTGGTTAATATAGTCAATCAGCAAGTCAGATTGGATGACGTCTATTAAAATAAAGGCAGTTAAGTCAGATGCAGATATGCTAAGTACAGAGAGTGTGCTAAGAGAACCTATTTCAGTCCAGAAACACACTATGAAGTCACCTATCACTCTAAGAACTCAGCGAAACCTTGGTTTTTACAAGGTTTCAGAGCTGCACACCATGAAACTGCAAATGAATCTCCCAGTGACTTTCAGAAAAACAATGCTGAATAGTAACGAGAGGTGCAGCACGCAACACTTGAATTCCCCAGAGCAATGAATCCACAGAAGCAGCTCCAAACCTATCTGATAATTACAAGAAAGGAGCAAAATGGGCAAAAAGTGAGGAATTCTGCTCTGGTGTAAAACGTGCATGATGCCGGAATACTCTTAAAGTGCAGTCTGCCCTCTACTACTGGCAACCCTTATGCACAAGATTTGGTTTTGTCTGCAGACAGCCATCTCCAATTCTAAAAATACTATTAGTGATCTAAATGTCTTCTCATTAGTGCTATTAACTTTCATTTGTTGCATGAAAAGTAAATAAAATCATACAGAAGAAACCCACCTTTGCAGCAGGCTACCTTTAGAATAGGAGATGAGAACAGAATTTGAAGTTACAGCTTCTTTGTAAGACACAAGTAATAAAAAGTACTTAAGAGTGGCTAAACCTCTTACACGTCTGGATCGCTATCCAGAAGAGAGTGCCAATTCGTTACACAATTCAGCCTTACAGCTGTGTTTGAATCTTATCTCTAAACAGTCTGTCAACACTTTAAATCAGAATTTGTCCAGTAACAAGACTGTCTACTAGAAAATACTATTATTACTAGAGACAATAATAATGAAAAGTAGCTATTTACTCAGCTATTAGAAAAATCCAAAGCTACTACAGGAGTGGTTACTCACCAGGTTAGCAGTTAGAAGCTCGAGACTTAGCAAAATGTCAGAGATGGCATATTCAGCAATTTCCGTGACTGTAAACTAATACCTCCTTCCATTTCAAACCATTTCTTGTGGAATAAAACCACTTGAAACTTCTAACAAGTATGCCAGACAATGCCACAAGTTAAGAATGGCATTTTCCTTCAATGGCACTATAAGAATCCAACAAGTTCAAGTATTACTTCAAGACCAAGTTTTCTAATATTGCACTGAATCCTTATACTTACCCTCAAGAATACAAATGTCAACTCTGCCATTATGGTATGTTACAGTAATAGTAATGTTTATAACCTGCCTCAAAAAAACCCGTTTGCAAGTACTTCTCAATTTCACTGCTCAGCTGACCAATTCTCCCTGCCATGCCATTTGCACAATCCACCACTCAAAGCCCACATACTCACAGGTAATATGAATGTGTCATTTTTGAGGAGACATTATCAGATTTTGTTAAATTTATCAGAAGACAGAAAAAACACTCTATTGGTCAGTACATAAGTAGGGGAACTTATGTTCCTACTTATATGTAGGAAGCTCACTTCCCAAACTGCATTTTGTAAGCAGTTATACTATTGACTCTGAGCTTTCTGAGCAGTAGTGATGGACGGCTGTTTCATCAAGCTGTCTCTAGCGTGTTCTATGCGCACTCTACACTTACCCACCTAAGCTCCTACACCAGATTAGTGCTCTGGTTAAGATTTCTTCACAGAACTCTCTATCACTACAAACTACCTAGGAAAACCAAGTTTATTCCTGCTAATGCAGCCATATATTCTTCTGTTCTTTTATTTGCTAAAAACGGGTGGCAACACAGTATTTTACTAATTTTTTTAATGTTACCTGGTAATGAAAATCAACAAATGTATCCTCCCCGTTTCAGAAAGCGTGGCATTAAGATTAAAAGCTTTAACACGACATCTTTCCAGAGCAAAGTACTCACAAGTATCAAGACAAACCACTGTGTCATCAAAATGTTCATCTTCTTCTTCCACCGGTGGTTGAGGGGACTTGGCCCTGAATAAACAAAACCAAACAAAACATGTATTTTCATGAAGTCAGAGTAACATTTCTGTATTCTCTTCCTCCTCATCACAAAATACAGCCCAGCATCAATTCTGTTTACCTGCTATACTTGTTTTCCTCAATGTATTCAAAGTAGCCCCGGCCATGGTCTTCACGTGGTCTCTTCACTCCCCTCTTCTTCTCACCAGGCTTTTGTTCCGTTTTACCATCTCCTGTAACAGAAGCAATGATTTGATTATTTTAAGTTTTAGTTTAATTGGGAATAAAATCTATACGATGGTTTCAACTTTGTAAACTGCAGCAAGCGACAGCATGACATAAGCAGTAACATCTTAAAAAGGAATTGTGCTATATTAATATAAGGTAAAACCCTGTATCTTGAATTTTCACGGGAGACTCAAAACTTGACGCAAATCAGATTTAGTATAAGGAAGCTGTCAAAACACTACGCAGCAGCCAGTACGGCCCTTAGTGTTATGATCCCCACTGAAAAGCCCCAACCAAAAAAAAATTTAAAAAAAACCCCCCAAAAACCAAAAAAACCCCAAAGTTAAAAAAAAAAAAAAAAAAGGGGGGGGGGAAGGGAAAAAAAACCAAAAAAACCCCCTCCTGACCCGCCGCGCCTCCAGACCCGCAACACTATCACCACCCGCCCACCACGGGGGCATCGGGACATTGCTGGCCTCTCGCAAGGGCACCGTGCGATCCGCACGACTGCGCCTCCTCCCGGCGGGCCGCAGGCGGGAGCCCCAGGGAAGGGATTCCTCCTCCTTCTCCTCCTCCCGCCTCCATTGTACCGCCAGGCCTTCCCAGCGCCATCCCGTGCGGCGGCGGCGCCCAGCCCGGAAGTGACGTCACGCGCGCCCAGCGCTGCTCGGCGCACAATGCACAGCGCGCCCCAGCGGCCCCTCCGCCGCCCCTCCCCCCGCGCCCCTCCTCCCCGCCCCCCCCGCCGGGGCAGCACGAGGCGCGGGGCCGCCAACGTCCTCCCGCGCGCGCCCCGGAAGCCGCCCCCCCCCTCCCCGGGCCTGGCAACCCCCGTCATGGCGGGGGGGGGGATAGGATTAATGGGCCCCCATCTCCGCCCCCCTCAACCCCGGTTCCCGCCGCCACGCTCACTCACCCCCGGCGCTCTGCGCCCCGGGGCGGCCGCCTCCGCCGCCGCCTTCCGCTTTCTTCTGCTGCTGCTGTTGCTTGGCGGGGCCCGCCGGGCCGGAGGCAGCGGCGGGCCCCGAGGCGCCCCCGGCGCTCTTGCCGGGAGCCTCCTTGGCAGCGGCGGCGCTGCGCGGCGGGAGGAGTGGCGGGGGCTGCTGCGGCTGCTGGGGCTGCGGCGGCTGCTGGTCACCGTGGCCGTTGGCGTCCCCGGCCGCGGTCTCCTCCTCGTCGGCCAACTCGTCCTCCCCCTCTTGGAAACCCTGGTCGTCGCCGTTCTCATCCTCCTCCTCCTCCTCTTCCTCCTCCTCGCCGCCCGCCTCCTCCTCCATGGGGCCGCCCCCGGCCCCTGCCCGCTCGCCGTTCTCCTCGCCCAGCTCCATGGCGTCGCCATCGGCGGCCTCCAGCCCTTCCTCGTCGTCGTCCTCCATGGCGGAGGCCGCGGCCTGGCCGGGGCCTCCCCCCTGGCGGAGCTGCGCGGCGCCCCCGCCGCTCTCGGCCGCCTCCCCCTCCACGCTGCCGTTGCCGGGCTCGGCCGCGCCGCTGGCAGGGCCGCCCCCGCCGGCCTCCTCCTGGTCTAGCGCGGCCTGGAGCCGCTCCATGAGCTCAGCCTTGAGGCCCTTGTCGGAAAGGCGCCGCTTTTTCAGCTCCTCCTTCAGCTCCGACACCTTCAGCTTCTTCACGTTCACGGGCGAGCAGCTCATGGCGGCGGCGGCAGCACTGGCGGCTCGGTCCCTGGGCGGCGCGCGGGCGGCGACGGGCAGGGACAGACGGGCGGCTCTGGCTCTGGCTGCGGTGTGTCGGTGCCCTGGCGGGCGGTGGGTGCGGGCGGGAGGCGCGGAGGGTTCGTGCGGCTGCGGGAGCTGCGGAGCCGGACCCGCCTGGCGCCAAATCCTTTCACCGCGAGCTCGCGAGGGAGACGCGCCTCGCGGGGCCGCGCACGCTCCGGCGCCGCGCGCGCGCTGCCCCGCCCCCGCGCACGTAGGCCCTCCCGCGCTACCGTAACGACCGCATTACCGTAAATACCCGCCCGAGCGCAGCGCACACACACCCCGCCGCCCTTGTCCTGGCGGGTTCCGCGTCGGATCGGCCGATACACTGCTCCGGCACAATGAACCCGTTCTGGGCTGCGAGCCAGCCCCGTGCCAGCTCCCGCCCGCCTGAGGCCACAGCCCGTCCGAAATGCCCTCCGCCACGGGCCCGCATCCCAGCTACAGCCTCGCAGTGCCCTGTCCTGATTGTCCTGGCTCCCCTGCGCCCGTGTCGGGCCTAGTCCCGCACGGTTTATTGCGTACTGGCTGCGAAAAAGGGGCACTGCTGCTCGAAGAAGTTGTCCTGGCGCAGCCCTGCTGTGCAGTTATGTAAGGACAGGAGCGGGGCTACCCCGTTCCCGCAGCAGCGGGAGGCAGGCGCGGGGCTGAGCCTTAGCCAGAGCCGGCGACAACAAAGGTTCTCCGGTGCACGGACTCCCGGTCTGGAGCTCGGCACGGCGCCAATCCGCTCACCAAACCTGCGCAGATTTCCCTCTTTTCTTCCCCCTGCCTGCCCCTCTGCGCAGCGTTAAGATGGGGCTCTCCCCAGCCACAAAAGCTGTACAGTCTTCAAATTTTGGATTTTTCCAATTCGGTCAATAATAACGTGAAAACAAACTGTGGAGATGATTTCACGCGAGCAGCAGAGCAGCACGGATCTAGTCGCTTCCTTAGGGAGCCCGGATAAAAAACTAATTTTCACTTGCAGGAAAAGAAACGCAAGTCAAACCGCCAGAGGATCAGTGTGAGGCGCAACAGAAGGGAAGGTGTGTTTGCCACGAAGTTGCCTTGTGTGGGTACAGATTGCGTGGCCTCCCGAACTAGAACAAATTACATTTACCTGCCCCAGAGGAAGGGAAGAGAGACAAGGAAGTCATCCTGTTTTAACTGCGCAAGGCAAGGGTTCTTTCACACACGCACACCGCTCTGTCCTCAGTCAGGCAATATCTACTTGGAGAAAACACGACTCGGTCGGGAAGGTTAGCTCAACCCAGCACTACACAACAGCTTGTTTGAACAGAGACAGGAAGAGATGCAATAGCTACGGATGAGAAAAAGTTGCCAGAACCTTTCCCTTACTTTAAGGTCAAGTTAGCAGATTTTATTTCAGTTCAGTAAGTCAGAGTCACCTCAGTTGCAGAAGAAAAGGATAAGAGTACATCAATGCAAAGGAGAGGTCAGTGTGTGATTAAGCTGTAGCACTAAATCATTGTCTTTGTCCATTTCTTAATGAAAGGACAATGTGAGCTAGTCTGCTGAGGGACTCCTGACATACATACTGTTCTGTCAAAGTGACAACAAAATTAAACTAGTTAATATTGCAAGATTACTGACTGAAACATACAAATAATTCTGCATTAATTTGGATGTCATTTGCCTATCCAACCCTCGTTTTTTTGTTGTTTTGTTGTTTGTTTTTTTTTCTTGTATGTAAACAAATTTAAACAGAAAATGCATCATTAACTCTTTAGGAGTTGTATTATCTGAACCTCATCTATTAACCTGAGCCCTGTGTTTAGACCTTGATCTTGCACAGGGCTTTTCACATGTTGAGTCATATTTCTGGAAGAGGTTCATCAACTCCGATGTCTGATAATCCCTCCCACCACCACAAACTTTATGGGTTGATAGATTATTTTAGGCCAGCTTTGTATCCCTAAGCCTTGCCTTAAATGAGCACATCTGCACATATTGAGAGTGCCTGTGTGGTAGAAAACAGCCTCATTCAGAATCACCCAAGAGCTGCAATCATCACATGTAATCCCATTCCTAAACGATGTCATGTCTCCCTACTTCAGTAACATGCTCATACTGCTTTATACTCCTGTTACCATGGAGAAACAAAACAGCTAACAGCTTGGAGGCACATGGAGAGATTCCCTCCCTTAAAGCGTCTAAGCTTGTATATAAATGCACAAGTAGATAAAGTAAAAATCATTTCCCCTCGCCCCCCCAAAATTTAGCACTATTAACTTGAGACGTTTCTTTAAAGTTACTACAGCTGTCTATTTATTAAAGCACTTAAAAGGATAAACTTATTATTTTTAAAGGAGATTAACTCATACCATCATAATAAGGGTAATGCTTATTATCTAACCACACAATTAATTACATTACCAAACAGGTGTAGCAAGACTGTTTTCAGACTACAGTTATGTTACCTGTTATTACAGAAGTGGGAAATCCCAGTTGATTTTCAGATGTCAGATGATTCAATTATAAAAACTAAATAAAGAGTTGCAAATAATCATAAAACTAAGTAAATAATGAAATAGATGTGTAACTTTAATTACTGCCTCTCAGTGTTAAAAAAAATATTTTCTATATATATGTTAAATACATATTTTTTACACAACTGTCCCTGAGAAAAATCTCACTTAAGATACTCCCCTGTTCTCTTTGAGTCCTGTGTTTCAAGAGTTTGCCTTTCCCTTATTAATACTTCGAAGGAGAAAAATAAGTTAAGGATGTATGCTCTCCTCATTGCTGTACCCTCTCTTAGTTCAGATACTGAGTGAATCCTTCAACTCTGCTTTTCATAGAACATACATATAGATGCCAGCCGTATAAAAAATTAGTATTTGGTAATGCAACCTCCTGAAACAAGAAAGCACTAAAGAAAAGCACTTTAAGCTTTAATTTGCAAAGCTGCTGCTTTTATGATGATGGCGATATGACAAACAAAACGTGATTGCTGGTAACCACAATACTCCTCCATTAAAACTGCCTTTTTTTGGTCTCAAAATATATTGAAACATAATCTTTATTTCCATTTAAATTAAAAGTGACATGCCCCCATATATAACAGATGCAATCCTATGCACTTTTAATCAATCATATAGCATTTTTCTCCTACCTGTGTTACTTTCTAACCTAAACTGTTTTTCTCTCCAAACCAGTCTTCCCTCTCAGAAGTAATTTGGGATTCTCCCTCTGGGACTCGGCCCTTCAACAGATCAGTTACTCTGATTTTCCTCATTTTTGTTTGTTCTCCTTTAGACTTCAATTAGTTACTCTACTCACCTATAATGTTCTTTCCATTATTCACCCTTAGTTCTTCCAAATCGCTCTCCTCTTCCTGTTTACCAAGAGCAGTGACAAAGAGGTAACAAAAAAAAAGCGAACCTTCAGGAGGGCACTGAACAATCACAAGTCCAGTCCCACCTGGGCTTTGAATCTTTCCCCACACCTTCAGTGTTGCAGGAGAACCCAGGCATTTGTGTTACCCTGTTCTGCTGTCTTAGAGCCTTATCTGTCCTGTTCTGGCTCTTCTTGTTGTGCTTTACCCTACATCTGACCATCACAGTATGTTCCTGGTCTCTTCTGCATGTCCTTAATCCATCTACCCTCAATTAATACTGCCTTCAGATTTTCACATTCAACACACCATTACTTTAAAAGAGAATATCATTATTGAAATACTCTGCTGCCTTTTATGATAGCAGGCAGCATGTGGAGCGAGTCTTTTTATTTCTCCCTTTTCATCACTGCTCATGAAATACTCATTAATCATTAGTAGACCCAATGAGAAATTGTCAGGCATTTCTAAAGTGCTAATTTGTCCCAAGTGAGGTTGCATGACTAACAGGCAGTTCTGATGATTTCTGAGCCCCTATTTATTTATCTCCATAGGTGTGTTCTATCTTAGGATCTGTCTGCCAGGAGTTTGTTTTGGAGAAATAGCACTGTGCTTCTCTTTCTCTGACCTGCACTGCTTACCATCAGAGTCAGGATGCTGAACTAGATTGACCTCACCTTGTACTTTCTATAATCTCTCCATGATATTTTAATATCAAAGGAGTTCAGTTCATCTCAGAAATGAGGTGGTCATATGCCAAAATAAGGACTATTATTTACACAGGAACCAGATTAGTTAGGTCTGAAAGCATCCTCAGGACTTAAGGGGTGGTTAGTATCTAATTACAAGTAGAACTGCCAGGGTACAAGGGTCTGAAATTCAGGTTTCTGGCATTGGTTTGGCTAGCTAGTTCTCCTCAGAAGCATCTTTCTCTTATTGCACTTTCTGCCATAGCACCCTTTGGGCCTCCAGGTGAGCTGTCACTTTAGAGTCAGTAAACAAGTTCTTTTTAAGAGACTAATGCTATTTTGCTTTTCCTGTGTGCTGGATGGTGTAGTTGAGTAATCCCACCAAGCAGAAGGAAGCACTGCAAAACTACATTGGGACATCACATATCAGCCACAACCCGTGTTTGTCACCCTCACCGACCCCATACCAAAAAGAATCCCCCTCTTCCCATTCCCAAGGAATAACTTTTTTTGCTTAACAAAAAAGTCCAAAACCCAAGCCCATGAGTTTCATGAGAAGCAGTTTCTCAGTTCAGAGCATTCAATGAATCACAGTTTCTAAGCCTGGCCTTGGGAAAAAAGGCTGCATTCTCCAGCATTAAAATCAAGATTCATTTTGGTTTTATTCAGAGCCATATAGAAGTTTACTGACTACACATATCTCAAGTCCTATATATGAACTAGTTCATAAGAAGACACTTAGCTCCATGAATCAGACATCTGCAATTTCTGGAGATTTTTTTTGTAACTTGTCACATATACACATTCACTAGAGTGGAGCTGTGAACTCTGGAAATTTAGATGGACTAAACCCCTCTGCACAGCAGTCAGTCTGTGGAAGAGGAGGTAGCATTGTAAATCAGCTTCCAAAAATATGGTTCTGCTGTGAGAAGAC